CGATATTATTGCTATACTTTATGGCTGCATAAAATATTTGGGAACAGATCGCTTGATTACAAACGTTTGCGTTTTTTTGCAGTACTATTCGCAATGTTTTTTGATTACAGTGCTTATTCTTATTCTGAAAATGTTACTATCGAGATATAGATATTACAAACGGTTAATTTTGATTCGAGACATAGCAATGATCAAAATAATAGACTATACTAAAGTTTTCAAAAAACATGCATACACTGTTTACAAACTTTGACAAACAGTCGATATTGTCAACAATATTTTTGGCTGGACTATTTTGTCTAACACAGTTCTGTTTTCCTTACACAACCTTATTTTTCTGGATGCTGTGATACGAGATGGTGGTATGTATAAAGCGAAGAGTGCTGGTGAAGTGGCCGTCTTATTCACTACGACACAAGTAATATTGCTGATGTTGCTTTGGGTAAGGACATTTTTCTTATCTGTAATTTTAATTTACTTTTCGTAATATTGCAGGTTGGATTTTTATCTATTAACTTTCTTTGTGACGCTATTTTAGAGGAATACTACGAAATTTTTAAAATATGGAATCAGTTAGAAATTAACGTAGGTCATGTTGATAGTCAAGAGAGATATACCTTCCATAAAATTATAACACATAGTTGCCCCAGATTTAGTGCTGCCAGATTTTTCCCGGTATGCAGGTCAACAGTTTTCGCTATACTAGGATCAATAACGACGTTCATTATTGTCATAGTACAATTTAAATTTAATTCATAATGTTTTAATACTACTTATTACTATTGAATTATACATGTGTACATTTTCATGACTTATAGTTTCGTAAATTACAAGTGCCTCTCCATTTTACTTCGTGTCCATTTAGAATGCTACTACCAGGCTACATGTTGTTGTTGAAGCTCTTCAATAGTTTCTGACCACTGTTGATTTTCATACTCTAATGTTTCATCCAACCCACAGACAAAAATCACCCTACAAACTGTGAAACTCCAACTTCAGCTGCAAGTCGGCGAGTGCTGATGTCGGGTTGTTCTTCATCGCGTTCGAAAATTTGTTCTTCAACTTGCAGTATTCTTTCGGTCGTGTCACGGCCACGATCGTGGGTTTGAGGCTTAAAGGTACCATGATCTTGGAGATGCTGAATCACTGATGTAAATGTTTGCTCACACGGGATCGCGTGATTTGGAAAAATTCACCATTGTCAAAGACGTTAACCGAACAAAACGCCGGCAACCAACTGATACATGGCTGGCCCTTACCATGTTTTTGCACGTTGCTTATCAGTTTGCCTTTTTTGGTTCTTATTCCTAGTCGTTCTGTGGCATTCATTGAATAATAGTTTTGGTAGGTCAAGAAAAACTAACAGTGGCGTGAATAACAATTTATATTTAATTTCTGGATCTGGAAGTTTAGGGTAGAAAATCAACGCGAATTCATAAACCACTTGTGTAGGTGTGTGTAGGAGACCTATTTTTTCGTATTCTAGAGGTCATGAAACATCCAGAAAAGATAAATAATATACTCGATTACAATGTTTCCTTAGCTTACGCTCACGAAGTAATAGTATTTAACATTACTAGCATGGTAAAAGCGTTTTTACTGGCAGACAGAAGGATATGACAGTCACCTTCTGGAGCTAATAAAAACCCGTTACCTTGCGTGTATTGTTCAATATTTTATTTGTTTCTCACTTGTAAATAACTATTACAAACTATTAAAAAGTCTAAAAGTTCCAATATTTGAAGAAACATCGTATGAGCTTTAGACGTATTGCCTTGGAAACGCACGTCAGCATGGCACTTATCATCGCAGTTATTGTGTTCTCTAGTTCTCTCATTTAGATTTTTCGATTTATCGTTTTCGATGTATTGAAATGAGTGTGCCGCAAGCTATATTATTAAGGAAGCAGCAATTGTGAGTGAAAATTTGCCTGAATCAATTTTGGCTGTCATTTCAACTTACAATAGTTTAAAATGTTTAAAATACATAGCTGTATGAGCACGAGCAGGGCTGTAAAATTTGACTGGCTAGCCAGTAAAATTTTTACAGGCTATAGACAGTTAAGTGACATTTTCATGTCGAATACAGTGACTTGGTAAATTGATGTTTACAAGTGAGGAACAAATAAAAATAATACAAAGTTGTTTAAAAATACGTGCTAACAAAAACACAACGGTTGTTCTTTATTTCGTGCGAATAACATACAAGATATGCGCGTACTTACCTGTAAATAAGCACAATACCGGATTTAGTTGTTTATTTCTCATGATTTAATTGCCGCCATGTGCGAGTAAACAACCTGGGCAGTGTATATCAGCTCATTTAAGAGAACACAAACAACTCAACTGTTTGACCGCTATGGATACTGATATTTTCAGAGTGATATATAAATTTGGAAACATTGTGGCTTTAATACCGTTTACCACGAACAGGATGAAGCCCAGCAGGTTCTTGCACAACTGTCACGAACTGATCGCTTTTTTAATTTATACATGTGTTATTTTGCTTTTGATGTACTACAGAGTCGATAATAATATTGGTTATACAATTATACAACAAACTTTATCAATATGTGCAGACGTTGTTATTTACGTTGACATTTGTGTTACTGTACTTTCGTTAAACAGCAAGAAGAGTGAATGGAGCAAGCTTGTGAAAAATTTACGAGCTATTGAAGTCAACAAAAGTGTTAAAGCAGACTACTGGATATTTCTTACACCACAAATAATATTTATAGGCAATATTGTTGCTATACTTTATGCCTGCATAAATTATTTGGGAAGAGATCGTCTGGCTACAAACGTTTGCATTTTTGTACAGTACTATTCTCAGTGTTTTTTGATTACAGTGCTTATTCTAATTTTGAAAATGCTGCTATTGAGATACAGATATTACAAGCGCTTATTTTTAGTTCGAGACATATCAATAATCAAAATAATAGACTCCACAAAACTTTTCAAAAAACATGGACACACTATTTACAAACTTAAACAAACAGTGGATATTGTCAACAGTATTTTTGGCTGGACTATTTTATCAAACACAGTTCTGTTTTCCTTAAAAAATCTTATTTTTCTGGATGCTGTGATACGAGATGGTGGCATATTTAAAGCTAAGGCTGATGGTGAAGTGGCCGTTTTGATTACCGGTACGCAAGTAGTAATGCTGATCTTGCTTTGGGTAAGGACGTTTTGTCTTATCTGCAATTTTGATGTACTTTTTCTTATATTGCAGGTAGGATTTTTATCTATTAACTTTCTTTGCGACGCCATTTTAGACGAATACGACGAAATTTTTAAAATATGGAACCAGTTAGAAATTAACGTGGGTCAAGTTGACAGTCAAGAGTGGTATAATTTTGACAAAATTATGACACATAGTTGCCCCAGATTTAGTGCTGCCAGGTTTTTTTTGGTTTGCCGGTCAACAGTTTTTACTGTATTAGGCTCAATTACTACTTTCATTATTGTCATAATACAATTTAAATTTAATTAATCGTGTGTTAATACCTGGCTAATGATGAATCGAATTATACATGTATATTATATACATATGTATGAGTATGACTTACAGTTTCATAAATTACAAATTACAAGTGGTTACTTATTTCATTTCCTGTTGATATATAGATATGATTAAAACAACAATCAACTAAACAAAGAAAATACGTATATACATTGTACAATGAAAAAATATGTTACAAATATTAAGTGTCCCAACCAGTGTGCAGAACACAAAGTTCGAATGAATGAAATTAAATTTTTTTTATTAACACTCTCTACATGAAAATATAAATAATAAATACATAGAAATCCTCATGTATCCACATTCTCAGTATCAGCTGAATAGCAATATTTTTTATAAGTAATATAGGGTACTTTGTAGATTCAAACAACCAAATTTATAAGAAATAGTATTTATATCAATAACTCATTTGCATTGACACTGTATTTACATTAAATTATTTTCTAAATACTTGTTTACTATACTAGTAAAAGCAACTTTTTAGGGGCAACGTTCTTCGTTGCGTTAATAATGTTTTGTTATCATATTCACCAAACTAATGAATTTTCAATGAGCACTAATCAGACATCATTTATACGACAGCAACAGCTTTCATTACTGTATTATTATGTTTGTTGTTTGAGTTTCTTTAACAATATAAATCAAAGCAATATTGGACTAAAATATAAATGCTTACAGAAGAAGGCGGCAATGGGGTACAACCGGTTGGATGTAACCTGTGATTTTTTACTTCCTGAGCGTAATCTAGGAAGTAAAGTATAGTAATTGAATCCATCGGATGAATGGCTACTTTTATGTTTCCTCGACGTTTGATGATCCCCAAAGTACGAAAAAGTAGTCTGCCGTTTCCGTCTCTCTGCCTATGTGGCGTTTTTAATCGCTTCACCCCATTTACTCGAAAATTACAGTAATATCACACCGCAAATAATTGTTATTATAATAACAGTTCCTCACTCAAAATGATTTTCGGATTGTTTTGTCACTAATTAAGAACGCAAAATCAATTAAATTAAATTTTCTTTTATGCGGCTGCTGATGCTTGTACGTGATTATAGTGGAGTTGTTTCGAAATATAAACATAGGTTATGTAACTACTAAGATTTCATTTTCTCGTTGGTTATTTGGTTTAAATATATTTCCTATCGATCCTACTTTTACGGGAAAACAAAAATCGCAAAATCAAATTTCATACTTTCTCAAATAGGCGGGATTTGTTTCAGGGGCGAGGTAAGTTCTGCCGAAATAAACTTGGAACAATGTTTTTATATCAAGTGGTGGGGAATGTGAGTGCACACACTTTTCTGTGCTCTGTCTCTGACTTTAAATTTGGTGAGTCTGTTTTGATTTTTAATCGGGAAAAGGCGCTTGATAGTGATCGGTTTGTGAGAGCATTGGTTGTCCCGGTTTTTATCTGATTGCTATATTCCTAAGGATTTTATGATTAGATTTAGTTGTCACATTCGAATATTTGCTTATCAGCGCTCTTTTTGTAGAGGTTTCGTGATCGAGGTCTTTCTGGAATCCATCGCGACTTCTGCTTCCAGGCCTTTCTTTAGCGACCGCCGCTCGCCCATCTGGACACCACATGATGAGTCATCATCGCAGTACATACTAGAACCCATAGACGTCGTACCGGGACGGCGTATGGGTTTCTTTCGTAACAATATTTTCCAAAGACGTATTTAAATCGAGTTTTCTAATTTGTTTCTGGTGAATTTCATGTAAAATTCCTAATTTCTTATTTATTATTTATTTTTAGTATTACACAGCTCGAAAATTATGTTCTGCTAATGAATAATGTTGCAGTATTTTAATTATTCATTTACTGTGCGACACATCGATGAATAAAAAAAACTCTGCAAAAAATGCCTGATATTGTATCGGTGAGAATTGTTTATTCCTTTCTTGTGTTACACAAAGGAGATCTGCCCGTAAGGAAGGAGTCTGCAAGGATCGGCGTGGAAGGTAAAGGAAATCAGGTTTTAAAGAGTATGTGTTGCCTTATTTCTTCAGTTCTTTTATGTTAAATTGATATAAAAATACGGATGTTAAGGGAAAAGTAGTTGTATTATACAAATCGTTACTTAACGACTTAATAAATATGGTTGTTTCAACAAGAAGTCAAACGTTAATATTTCGTCATATATTTATTTTTTAAAACTGGCCTTTTCGGCTGAAATAATTTGGAATGTCGAATAGGTTTTTATCAAAGTTAATTATTTCAAAATTAAATCCAGTTTTGGTTTTTATCTCATTACGGACCGTCTTTACGTTTTATGCATCACTGCAATTAATAATATTATTCATTGCAATTATCGTTATTGTTTTTACTTCCCGAGCGTAAGCTAAGGAAGTATACTAATCGAGTCCATTTTTGTTAGATAAGTAATTTCCGAAACTACTGGACCGATTGTTGTCTTTTTTTGTATGTATGTATATTACAAATATAATCATCATCCACACCACCAATGGGATGACGTCATCTCCAAAATTTATAATAAAAAGATTCCAAATGTTGTGAAAGTCCCAAATATCCCTAAACCTTGCAAATGACTACAAAGATTTTAGGAATTTCAAAAATTTTTAAAAAACTAGAGAAGCCCGCAATTTGAAAATTCTAAAGGGATTTCAGGGATTCAAAAATTTCGAAGATTCCACAGATTACAAATATTTAAAAATTGGAGAGATGATAAAAATCCTAAAGATCTAAAAATATTTAAAATTCTAGAGATACTGAAGTATCTAAAATAATGAAAATCTGAAAGTTCTAAAGGTTATAGAAATTTTAGTGATTCTAGATTCTAGAGATTCTAAAGATTCCAAAGTTTCCAGTGGTTTGAAAGATCCAAAAAGTATAAAAGCTTTCACGGATTACATAGATACACTAGAAATTGTAAAGACACTTAAGATTCTAAATAAATTAAAGTCCTAATGTTCTAAATATAAAAAAGATCCAACAAAATCATAAAAATTTTAAAGAACCTGGGGGTACTAATGATCCTAGAAATTGCAGAAATTTTGGGCTTTATAAAACTATATTCAAAATTTCCATAGATTGAAAAGGCTCTAAGGATCTAAAGACTCGAAGGACTCTAAAAGCTAAAATTCTGTTTCGGATACTTGAAAGATTCTAAAGGTTCTAGAGAAATTCCAAAAGATTCTAAAAGTTGTAAAAATCGCGCAAACCCTTAAAATGCCAAAGATTAAAAAAAACCAAAGATTTAGACTCTTGTGATCTATAAATTTTAGAAAATCTGAAAAAATTTAGAAAGCGTGGGAAAAATGTGGTAGACCTAGAATACTTGAAAATATTGGAAAAGGTTGAATTTTAAAATTCTGGTATAACTGGAGAACTGGAGAAATTTTGGAAAATGTGGAAATTCTAGTCATTTTCTGTACTTCGGAAAATCTGACAAATTGCGCCAATCTGGAAAATCTGAACATTCTGGAAATTTTGCAAATTACGAAAGTTCTCAAAAATTAAATGCAAATAAAACAATCGGGATGTATTAATTTTAGAAAATCTTTAAGTTTCTAAAAAGTGTGAAAAATCTGGAAGACCTAGAAATCTTGAAAACTGCGGAAAATGTTGAATTCTGGCATATCCGAAGACTGATATTGTTATAAGATTTAGAAAATCTGGAATTTCTGGAAATTTCAAAAATTTACTCAATTCTAGAAATTCTAAACATTTTACTGAATTTGTGAAAATATTACAAATACTGTGAAAGTTCAAAGTCTTCTCTAAAGTTCAAAGATTTCAAGGGTGCCAAAACTCTAAGGAGTCTATTAATACTAAATTGAAAATATATTAAAAAACTGACTATAAAGATGAAAAAAAAGAATTCTCAAAGTTAAAGTTGATAATAATTTTTCGAAGTTGTATTTGTTCGACTGTACTTTAGGGGCTAGGGAAGTTTTGTAGAAATAACTTTCAACCAATGTGTTTAAATTTCCGAACGGTTTTGAAAACATTTTTGTAGTTGGGACATATGTACTTAGCTACAGTTAATTGAAAGAAGTTCACTAAATCAGCAAAATGTATCAGACCATTTTAATTGAAAACAAACAATTCGTTTAAATTATTTTTCCCAGTTTGTGTAATTTTAAAAATGTAGTTTTACTGACAGTGGTGATTCAAAATTAGAAGGAAGTTTGCATGTCTTGAGTTGTCAACAGATATGCTGACTAGTTCATTTCAAATTGTATAATTACAAGAAGGAATGCGCTTAGACCATCCACTAATCCAAGTATCGTGGATCTATTAACCTTCGAAAATCTTGCTGCTGTAAACTGTGGAACCGTGTATTTAACACAGTCGATAATAAATTGAAGTTCTTTTGCTTCGTTAACTTTAAGTTGTCTTAAACTTAAACTGTCTTCAACTTGAAGTAATTTCAAAAAGATTTGATCCCACTCATCGATAGTTGAATCACAAAGTACCATTATACTCAAAATGCACACCTTAAAAGCACTTATTATTTGATAAGATTAAACATGAATAATGTATTTACCCACAATGACAGAATAATACAAAATTCTTGAAAACCGTGCAGATAGTTTTTCCAGTTACTATGAAAAGCTGCATAATTTTTAATAATTAAATCTATGTAGACAAAACTTTTAAACGAAGTACTGAATATTGTGAATAAAACGCTATATCCAAAGATTTCATTAAACAATTTAACATTCTCCTTTATGTTGAACATGTCATTCCGAATTTCTCTTAGTTCTATGAAAACTATTTTTGAATTTAGCTTTTCGACATTTTGGTTCAACAGAAATAACTTCTTGCTTTGATATTTGTATTTTGAAATCAACATTTTGATAGCAATGCAAGTCACTAAGGAATAGTACATTTGACAATAAATTTCAAAATTTTTAGACAAGATTATCGCTACTGATTGTAGGTTGAACGGCACTGAAAGCGTCGCAAATCCCCACAGTAAAAGTAGCGTATAATAAACAAAAAACATTGCAACAGCTGCTTTGTAGGAACTAGTAGAACTGTCCACTATTTCAAAACTTTTTGCAAGTTTGAACCAATAGCACCTTTTGAATCTCATCATTATAATCAAAACGTAAAAGTTGAAAAAAGTTTCATTCAGTTCATTTAAGATGGCTAATACCATTTGTATGAGTGTAAATTGCGCATAATTAAGTAGTAGGAAGTAGCTGTTTACAGAAGAAAGAGAAACATATATTAGAAATACCATGACTTCAAAGATTTTTTGAGCCAAACATGGATTATCATTTCTTAGATACGATGGCGTTAGCGCAAATATATTTCCAATTCTGAAAAGAATTTTTAATGCTGTTAAATCCATTGCAGACGCAAATTTCGACTTCGATATAATTAAATTAAAATAAAAGTACACTCAAATTTGTTTAAGCACGATTTCAACTGCAAAATTCTAAACAAACAGAGGAGAATAAGTTTAAAGTACCTATTTTACAATGGAAACGGTGATAATAATATTAATAATAATAAAAATTAATACATGCTACAGCAAGACTAATGATGGTGTAGAATAAGTTTTAAGTAGGTACTTAACTACGACTACCATATTTTAGTCATTAACTGCACCATTCAATTTTTTCCTCTGCTGTTGTATCTAATTGTGAAACTTTATTAGCGATAGAGATATCAGTAATCATAAATAACTGTCAACTGCAGTGGAAAACTCTACAGGTTAATTTCGCTTGGAAACAAAATACTGCAAATATTTGTTAAAACTGCTTAAATTGAATGTATTAAAATAGTAAATTGTGTAACAAGTTTTATGAATGCCTTTTTAGACACGAGTTTATTTAATCAGGAGCGGAGCGAATGTTTAAGAAACTAGTGTCTAGATAAGTTTATAAACATACATATAATGCAGGGTTATGATAAAGTAATGCACTAGCCTTCTATTTTACTCTCCATATTTTGACATATGTCCTCATAAAAAATCAAGGGGTGTCAGATCCGGAGACCTAGGTGGTCATTCTATTGGCCCATGACTTTCAATCCACCTTCCATCAAATTTATTATTCAAAAAAACGTCCACATTTACGCCATAATGTGGTGCCCCATCCTGTTGGAACCAAATTCTGCGATCTAAATTTTGTGGATTATTTGGATCAGCAAACGTAGCAATTAGATCCAGAAACACAGTGCTTCTAACATGATCTAAATATCGATCTGCTGTTAAATTTTCGTCAAAAAATTAGGGCCAATGAATCTTCTGTTTACTATTCTCACCCATATTTTTTGGGGATGTTGGGTGTGTGGCGCTTGAACTCAATGAGGTTGTTCTCGAGCCCAGTAACGACAATTGTATCGATTTACGGTACCATTTAACGGATGAGTTGAACTTTATATGGGTGCAGTTTCTCTTTTTTAGAAACTTTATCACAAACGACTGACTAACATTTTCTTGTGAAGCCATTTCCATTGTTGTCCCATGGGGGCCGTCTTACAATGATAACAAGAGATTCAACTTGGTGTTATCGATTATTTGTGGCCTTCCACATCTTGGAACATATGTTACGTTTCCTGTTTGATTAAATTTTGCAATGAGGTAAGAAACATTAGTGAGAGTAATCTTAACTCTAGTATGGATTTAGATTTGTTAAAGAACCAGTTTAATGAGACAAAGGCTGACGTCATGCTAAAAGATAAACAAATCCAAAGAATTAAATCTGAGTTTGACGTTTTTCAAAAAGAAGCCATTAAAATGGAAGAAGATTTGAATGTTCTTTTGTCTGGACAAAAAGCTAAAATTGTTAAATGTGAAAATGATAACAAAATACATAGAATAAAGACAGCTAAAGGAATTCTAGAAACAATCGACAAGGAACTGTTAAATCTAAATATTAATGGTCCTTTTTTTATCGTAAAGTCTCATTTAAGCCATAATAAGTCTGTTATCCCAAATTGCAATTTAAGTATAACTTTTTGTTCTATAGAACTAAAGCCTCGTTAGTTCTCTTCTATATACTTAAATATACAATGTCTCAGAAACAAAATGTACGAGCTTGAAATTTTCTTAAAGGAGAATAATGTGGATGTCTTATGTATATTTACATGATTCATGGTGGACTGTGTATATTTGTCAAAAAGTCAATACTTAATGTTATAGATATATTATTATTATTAATATTATTATTCAATTTCGAGCTGAGGTAGTACAACCTATTAAGCTCCACACTGTTTCGATGTCTCAAAAAGAATAAAACAAAAAAAAAAAAATCGAGAAAACCAGTAAACATTTGTGCATAAATAGATGCTAGACAGTTACATCTATCTCAATAGAGTAATACACAATCATGCAGATGTTTATTCCGACGACAGATTTTCGAAATAATGTAATATTCTTTGCTTAAACACTGCCGTAGAAGTACAATTCACGACATCATCATTTAGCCCATTCCATACACTGAAGATCCCGTTCGTCAAAAAACTTTTCCGAACTCTGCTGTTATACTTTTCATGATATATTTTGTATGGATGACCCCGTAAACAAGAATTGTGAGAATAGACAAAAATGCTAGAAAGGTCGACATTAACCTGTCGGGTCAGAATATTTCGTAAGATAAGTTTTTCAGCTGAGAGATTTTTTTAGTAAAACTGCGCTGCGCCCTCTCAATTAGAAGTATATTTTTTTTAATTGGTGGCGACCAAATGACACTCGCATACTCCAAAATGGGGCGGACAAACGCAACAATCAGTAGTTTAAAGAGTGCCTGATCAAGTGATCCAAACGTTCTGTTAAGAAGATATGCTGTGGGGTTGGCACGCTTGACGATGTGAGCAGCATGTGTAGCAAAGGTTAAACCGTTATCCAATATCACACCTAAATGAGTTACTTGATCTACTAATTCTAGCACAGAATTGTTAATGCTGTATTGAACTCGAGGATTTTTGTTGGTATTAAGAGGTAATAGCCAGAAGGTGGTCCATGCATAAATAAAGTCAAGATCCTCTTGCAATGATACAGAGGCTGCTAATTGGTTACAAAATATTTTTCCATCATCAGCATAAAAAGCGTTTCTCGATTTCAACCCCACCTGTAGATCAGTACGTAGATCAAGAAAAGAATAGGTCCCAGAACATATCTTTGTGGAACGCCAGACATTACGTATTTGGTATCAGAGTACGAAGTTCCAACTTTGACTAAGAATGTACGATTGGAAAGGAACGCCTTTATCCACTCCAGCAATAGTCCTTTGACTCCCGCATGTTCTGGCTTGAGCAAAAGGCGTCTGTGAGGGACTCGATCGAAGGCTTTTTCAAAATCTAGGTAGACGACGTGAACTGGTTCCGATTTGTCTAAATGAGATCTCCAGATGTTTAAACACTGCAGCAAACAAGTAACTACCGATTTTTAGGAAGAAAACCGTGCTGATTTATCGGAATAACACTGTGTCTATTGAGAAATTGCAGAAGTTGTTCTCGGATTATGCACTCCATGATTTTGACACAAATACAGGTCAAACTAATAGGGCGGTAGTTTGCAACTACAGTTTTATCGCCTTTCTTGTATATTGGCGTAGTCAGGGCGTGACGCCAAATAGATGACTGAAAAGAGCATTGCATGATGAAGGATAAGGGTTCAGCAATTGCAGATGCACAACGTTTGAGACGATGTGATGAAAAACCGTCAGGACCTGGTGAATTTTTATCCGAGAGCTTAGCTAGTTCCCCCTGTACAGCTTCTTTTGTGAACTCTATCACAAGTAAACTATCAGGGACTTGAATATGAGTATAATGAGGAATATTATTAATTAGCTCATTAAGAAAAACATTGTTAAAGAATGTAGCAAGTAAATTAGGCGACTCAAATTCATTTGTTGCTAGTTCATTGTTGCAGTCACGAACGAGGGGAACAGAAACTTTGGATAACATTTTACATCTAACGTACTTATACACAGCTTGTTGTCCATTTTTTGCAAGGTTTTTTTCGTACTTCACTCTAGCTGCTTTAAGATCACTCTTTAACTTATTTGAAAACCTCCGGTGTTGTTCAAAATCAGCCTGCAAGCTCGTAACTTTAAATTTGTTCCACAATTTTTTCTTTTCTATAGACCTTTTTAAAAAATGATTGGCAATCCAGGGTTTTCTTACGTTGTATTTGGTACGGCAGACAACAGTATTCTTCTTCGTCATTTCTTCAAGTCTGACTGAGAAAATAGAAAAGGCTTCGTCACAGGAAAGAGTATTGCAGGCCCATTTCGTCCAAAGGGTAATCTTGTTGCTCGACGCTGGACATTTTCTAGTAAAGTTACATCCCTCTGTAACACTAGTGTCCAAACACTATTGCCAAACTCTATTATGGGTCTTACATAAGTTTTGTATAATTTAACAGCTACCGTAATATTTGTACTGTCAAATGACTTATTTAGCAGGTATTGTTAGCTTTTTTTGTGATACGCATAACATGATCTGACCATGAAAGTTTAGACGTTATCAAGATACCTAAATCTAAATATGATTCTGATTTTTTGAGTTCCGCACCTCCCATGTGATATGTATGCTTACAATTTTTAGAACCTAGATATAAAATGGTACACTTGTCTCTATTTAATGGTAAAGCCCATTGTTCTGACCATTTAAGAACAGCTGAGATGTCATTTGTCAACTTTCATTAGGTATAAATTTTAAGATCGTCCGCGTACATTGCGAAGAGTTTATAGAGAACTTTGGGTCAGCGGTATAAACTAGAAAAAGAATTGGATCAAGTACCGACCCTTGAGGTACACCACTAATTACTTGAACTGCAGCACTCAAAGCACCTTATATTTTTACATTAAAAGAGCGATCACTAAGGAAAGCAGCGATCCAACGAAGAAGTTTACCTTGTATTCCAAAATGTTGTAACTTATATAATAAGTATCGTCTAGGCACACGGTCGAAGGCCTTCGAGAAATCAAAATATGCCACATTAACACTTTTGCCCATATCAAGAGCCCGGGTCCACTCATCAAGGCAGCATAATATATTGGTATTTATAGATTTTCCCGGCCAAAAACCATGCTGTTCACATGGTGTGATATTGCATTTCATAAGAAAATTCATCGTTATATCGTAAATGATCGACTCCATAATTTTTACCACAACAGATGTTAAACGTACAGGTCGATAATTTGAAGCATCAATTTATCTCCCGCTTTAAAAATAGGAGTAACAATCGCTGTTTTCCAATCAAGAGGTAATACACCTGATTGAAAAGACTGATTAATAAGTATGCAGATGGGACCAGAAAGATTTGTAGCACAACTTTTTAAAAGTTTGGCAGTAATTTTATCAGGGCCGGGAGATTTGGTGGATTTTAATTTAAGAAGTTTTTCTAACACAGTTTCTTCCAGAAATTGTAGATCATTCAAGCGTGCTACATTTGAGGGAACATTCATGACTGGTATGCAATTTGGTTCATTTGTAAACGCAACAGCAAACGTAGATGCGAAAATATCCGCTACCAAACTCTCGTCATCAACGACACAACCATCTGTATTTCTAACCTGGGGCGTTCTAACCGGAGCACCTAAGCTGGAACGGATGTATTTAAAAAAATTCTTTGGATTTTTATCATCTGCAATACGTTTTTCATATGTGAGCCTTGGCTGCCTGATTACAGAAGAGAGATGATTCGAAAACGATCGATGTGTTATATCATCAGCAGTATCTCCAGTTCTTTTAAAGTTCCGTCAGAGTGCCCGCTTCCTTCTAATTAATTTGAATATCTTGCTATTAATCCAAGGTTTTAAAGATGACGATCTGTGTATTACCGTTGAAGAATATTCTGAAACTATATTATTTAAGCGGGTTTTAAACGTGCTCCAGTTATCTTCTACCGAAGAATTAGAAAGTAATTCAGACCAATTAAGTGTCAATAAAAATTGATTTATTGCTTCAAAATCGATGAACGTCTTTTGATAGGTACTAATTCTACGCTGTGATATGAAACAAATCTGTAAATCGACTTTAAGTATTCTCTGGTCGGATTTTCCTATAAAGTCGAGATATTGTAAATTCGCAAGCAAGTTGTTGTCGGATGTTAATATTAAGTCAAGAGTTGACGGTTGCTGATTGATTCGGTAGCGAGTTGGTTGAGTAACAAGCTGAGTTAAATGGGTTCCTAATATCATATCTATTAATAATTGGTACGATGGAGTAGAAGAATGACTAACGTTTAAAGGCCAGGTTAGACCTGGCATGTTAAAATCACCAAACACAAATACTTTGTCGTGAGACGTAAACAAATCCGAAAGAGCCTTAAACAAACTAATATCATCGTTAATAGTAGAATCAGGAGCACGGTATACACATCATATAATATACGTCAAATTCCGCTTACTAATTTTCAGAAAAATGGACTCGATACCGGTAATAGGAAAATCCAGTTCTGTTACTGAGAAATCAGAAAAAAAATTATGAGAAACGTACACATACATATATACATACACCACCCCCTCTTCCAGAATAACGGTCTTTTCGAAACATCGTATAACCATTTAAAGAAACTAAAGAATCTGGTACTATGGCTGGTAACCAAGTTTCAGACAACGCAAGAAATGTAGCTCCAATACAGGTGTTAAGCTTTCAGTCGAATCAAAAGATCTGATTTTTTTAGCCTGCCTCGTGTTATCACTATCGTCAGAATTTTCGAGAAATCTGCCAGAAAGATCCAAAGGATTCTCTATAGGTACATCTTGCTCAGGTGCTTGTCGTTTGCCCATTATTTCTGGTACCGTTTCTGACTGCTGATCAGACTCAGAAAACAATGGACTGACACCAGGACAGTCATTAGCGAGATTTACTGCGATCTTTATTTTATCATAATTTCCCAGAAGTTAACAAGTATTGTAGCGATGAACCTAGGTCTATTAAATGGTATACAGAGGACCTTAAAGAACAAAAACGTGTTTATAGATGCTTTAAAGGTTATGCAAAATTGTTTATAGGAAACATCTAATGACAACTTTGTCATGCGGTACTGAACTAGGTCGTGAAAAAAAAAATCCACTAACTTCCGGAACAACATTAGTGCAGACGACTTTAATAATTATTTTATTAATATCCCACTTGAGCTCTCTAGGCAGTTACAATAAACAGCACTTACAAATTTAACGGTATGCGAAGTAAATCATTTTTTTTTTTAGAAATACTGATAACGCAGTAGTTTTAAATTGCATTCTGTCTTTAAAATCTTCAAAAAGTAATAATATATATGACCTCAATTCTATTGTCATTAAATCCATCGGTCTCATGATCATAAATCATTTAACTTTTCTATTTAATAAATGTATTGAGGAGGGAGTCTTTCCTCAGTGTTCTAAAAATTCTAAAACTGTAGCTATGTATAACAAAGGAGACAAAAATTGCTGTAATAGCTATCGTCCCATCTCCATAATGCCAGTCTTCCTTACAATATTTGAAAATATTATTCAAGTTCACATGGTAGATTTCTTAGAATCAAACGACTTATTTGCTAAAGAACAGTTTGATTTTCGGAAGAGTTTGTCCACGACCGTAGCAATGATGACCAAATTCATACAAATAATGAGAACAGGCTTATTAACCAGGCAATTCTCTTAGACTTAAGCAAGGCATTTGATTGCGTTCCACACGATCGCCTGTTGGATAAATTGTATAGGTACGGGATAAGAGGCCTTTCATTAGATTTGGTAAGATCATATTTTCAAAATAGATGGCCAAAGTGTTGTAGAAAAAGGGAAATTCTCATCTAAGAAAAGAATCACCATTGGAGTGCCACAGGGCTCGATACTAAGTCCCTTATTTTTCATGATATCAATGATCTGCCACATAATGTACCTTCCAAGGTAAGATCTTATTCGCTGATGATACCACATTATTAGATGCGGCTAATACAATAGAGGATGTAAACTACCTGTCAAAGAATTCACTAAAAATGGCCGCTAACTGGTTGACGTTAAATCAACTTACTATGAACGAGGAGAAAAATCAAAACATAATATTTTCTTTAGCAACAGAGCATACTTCTTCTGATCATCCAAAATTGATTTTCTTTTGGATGGGAAGCTTACTTGACATAGTTACATCCTGTACTTTTTCAATTGAAGAAACTCGTCATTCTAATTTCCATTCCCTTCTCTCTTATGGTACAATCTTATGGGGAAATTCTGGTCATGCCATAAGGATCTTTAGAGCCCAAAAAAGGGCAATTCGCATATTGGCGATGGAGACTTCGCAAATGGCCTCTTGTAGGCCGCTTTTTAAAAAATTCAAAATCTTTCCACTGCCCTGCATATACTCATTTCAAATTTTACTACATGCGCATCTACATTCCCATGAATTTCCAAAATCCTCATCTCAGCATGTCTACTCCACTAGAAACTCCAATAAATTATTAATTCCATATGTAGGTTACCAAAGACACAGAGTTCTGTAAAACTGATGGCAATAAACTTATATAATGTTCTTTGTTCTACCCGGCAAATTTAAAATATCGCCTATCAGAAATTTTAAATTAGAATTAAAACGCTATCTACAACTTCATTGCTTTTATAGCATTGAGGAATTCATAAAATCTTTTAAATCATAAATTTCGTTGTTTGTATATGATTTCCTACATTCTGACGTGTCCATATCTTAAAGTTGATTCGGGACTAGTAATAAATAAATAAATAAATAAATAAATAAATAAATAAATAAATAAATAAATAAATAAATAAATAAATAAATAAATAAATAAATAAATAAATAAATAAATAAATAAATAAATAAATAAATAAATAAATAAATAAATAAATAAATAAATAAATAAATAAATAAATAAATAAATAAATAAATAAATAAATAAATAAATAAATAAATAAATAAATAAATAAATGTTTCGGAGAAGACTAATAGAATTTATTAGTGTTTTTTTATATAATAGGAATATTATTGTTAGTGTATAAACCAATCACAGAACATCGTATACATGACTAAAATGCTTTTTACTTCCCGAGCGTAAGCAAAGGAAGTATTGTAATCGAGTCCGTCGGCCGACTCTCTACTTTTACGTTTTCTCGATCTTTCATGACCCCTAGAAGACGAAGAAATATGTCTCCCATTTCCGTCTGTCTGTCCGTCCGTCTGTCCGTCTGTCCGTCTGGATTTTTATTAGACAGATAATCTCCGAAAGTACTCGACCGATTGTTGTGAAATTTTGTACTTATATTAAGAATATCATGTTGATGGTAAAACGCTAACCAAAATTTGTCTAATCATCCCCACCACTAATGCGATGACGTCACTTCAAAATTGTACATAGTAAATGGGTTTTTCAGTTGTATAAAATAACATAGTCCTACACATGTAGTTTACAACTCTGAATCGACTTTTCACCCGAAACGTCCAGATTTTTGGAAAAAAAATCAAAATTATAAAACAACATTTTGAAATTTAATTTTTAATCTGCTAACCAGAATGCTTTGAAATGTTGCAGATATTTTAAGGTTATAAAGAGCATCATAAATCTTTAGTCAAAAAATATTTGCTTATCCCCTCCAAAAACTTGATGACGTCAGCTCAAAAGTTTGTGGAATAAATCATATCTAAAATGTACAAAATATGATGAGTCTCTTCTTGTGATTTATCATTCCATTCAAATTTTTTCGATTTGCATATGCAGGGTGACTCAAAAAAATTAATGAATGCGTAAATTTATTTTATTGCTTTAATCAGGAACTACAAAACCGAATGCTTTGAAATCTTGCAGATAATTTAAGGTTATAAAGAGCATAATAAATTTTTAGTCAAAATATATTTGGTTATCTTCTACAAAAAACTGATGACGTCAGCTCAAAAGTTTGCCGAATAAATCGTATCTAAAATGTACAAAATATGATGAGTCTGTACTTGTGATTTATCATTCCATTCATATTTTTGGATTTGCATATGCAGGGTGACTCAAAAAAATTAATGAAGGCGTGAATTTATTTTATCGATTTAATCAGGAATTACAAAACCGAATGCTTTGAAATCTTGGGAATATTTTAAAGTTATTATAAGCATGGTAAACTTTTGTTCAAAATGTATTTGTTCATCCCTCCTAAAAAAATTGATGACGTCACCCTTAAATTTTGCTGAATAAATCCTATCTAAAATGCAAAAAATATGATGAGTTTGTACTTGTGATTTATCATTCCATTCATATTTTTTAGATTTTCTTAAGAGGTGGTTCAAAAAAATTAATGAAGTCAATTTATTTTATTGATTAAATTAAAGGAAACACTTATTATTAGTATTACACCCGAACCAACCCAATTTGGTAGACACAAAATTTGTTAAAGGAAAAACTCGGTTGAAACATAAGGGTAGCACGCTTATTTACATCGACTTTAACATTACAGACCTGCATTTGTTTTATGCGGTCACTTGGTTCCGCGAATGCGAAATAGACATGTTTGTAATCAACCAATTGTGAATTTCACCGTCAAGAATTAAAATAAAACCTAATGTTTTGTATAATAAGCGGAAGTCGAAGCAATAAAACCGATGGTTGTGTTGTTTAGAGTTTCTCTGTTTGACTCTCACGTATGCTGTTACGCTTGTCATCTTAAATTAAGAATGTTTATACATAAACGATTTTCAGTTGCCTCTCATCTTACACTGATATTACTAGACAGCGGATTTCTGTCGGGCTACGTCACGATTATAGGTGGGGACGCGCTGGATCGCCGGGACTCAGTAGCGGTTGATAGATAATCACTGAATTTAATCAGTACTAATTCCATAAATATAATTAACGATTTATTAATCAAACGGCTAAGTAAATGAGAGCGGGAATTAACAGCAGAGTGCAACGAAACAGCGTTATTCTAATCTCAAATAAACGAAGTGCAGTCCGTAACTGCAATGAATTCGCATCCCGTACGAGCCGTACCGAGTTTGGCCTTGCCTAACCGGACAGAAATCCGCTCTCTACATATTACACACCGACGTCGTATACGTGAGTAAATTGTTTCGTTATTTTATTGATTATAACAAATCAATATTCAAAACGACCCAATTCATTTTCCCGAAAATTTGGGAATACAATAATTTTATTCTTAGTATTACACTACATCTATCCCAACTGATATACGTGTCCTTGCAAAAATGTTGATGACGTCATCACAATTTTTTTTTAAATTCCCACTACAAAAATGTAATGAGAAAAAAACACAATAGGCATGCAGTCGTCAAGTTTCCGACAGCGAGGGAAGTACTGTCTAAACTCTTTAGACCAATTTTTATTTCTCACTATACTTTTATATCAGTATTTTAATTTTTTTTGCAAACAGTATTTAGTTTGTTCGTTTTCTTTTTCTCTGATTCGTAGGATGGTTCTGGGTCGCTTCTGCAACAAACAGAAAACAAAGTTCAGTTCACAGATTTATTATGAAAACAATATTAAGTTAAATATGTAAGAAAATAATTCATGACGTACTTCAAAATTTTCGAAAAAATTACAATTCTCAGAGAATAGTTTTCTATTAAAACTTTGCTCACAAAAAAAATACTTACGTGACGTGACTTCCTCTCTTGAAAAGTGGAGGCGTCGAGCCTCCCTGTACAGCTCCCGGATCCGTTCGGGGGAGAACGTGCCCTGTTCTTCCCCGTCTTCTTCTTCGGAGGAAGGGTCAAACAACAAATCGATCTCTATATCGGTGAAGCCTATAATCACAATACAAAAAACACTATTAAACGTCAGATAACATCCATGAAGAATTGAAATTAAAGTGATGAGAAGAGTTTATAAAAAGGAGTCATTGAAAAAACTACAAACCTTCGTCCTTGAGGAGCCGCCGCGTCTCCTCCTCCTGATAACAATGAGGAGGATTTATTATTGTTTTTTCAGAAGCTGAAACAACAATTTAATTTAGGTAACGTCATCAACAAACAATAGGAAATAAAAATTAATCCAGATAGAGAAAATTATACTATTATTATAAAAAAAAATTGTTATTAAATAGCAAAGTATCCGTACTTACACATTTTTATGGAACGGTGCCACAAGTTAGAATGAATCACAGAAAGATTACCACTTCAAAACCAAAATACTGTTCCACCCATTCCACTTGAAGGAGATGTCCGTATAGATAAAGTGACTTAAGTCGAAAATTGTATAAATTTGCTTGTCTTTTAATAACCAATCGTGAAAGATAGCGCTATCACAAAAGGGCATTTAGTTGACCGTCGAGTAATTGAAGGGAGGATGTTAAGTGTGGGTGTAAGATTAAGAACACCCGCATGCTTCCTTTCCTTCAGCTAATCGTTTAAAGAACTATCGATTCTTCTGTGTATTATGCAGGGTCGGTGGAACGTACGGAAACGGGTTATACTCTGTTCAAATGAAAGCGTCATTGATCAGGTGAATCGTGAAAGCTGCATGATGCATCCTGTAGCCGAGTGCGCGCAAGATTCCTGCGCCTAGCCCGTGTTACACTGTAAAGAAATTTTAAGTTCTGATTTTGACAAAATAACGTTTCCAACATCCGACATGATAGCGGTTACAGACATAAAAACAAGCAAAAACACAAACGACGAAAGCAAGTAGACGAGAAAACGCAAGGGATGAGTAAACAATGAAACGCATGGGCAACGAAATATCAGTACAGTGTAAAACTGGCTTGGCAAAAATCGTCCCCCAAATTTGTCGACCAACAGGCAGTGGAACACGCGCTAATCATGCGTCTTTATTGCTTACTCTTTCACTTGAATGTACTACAAGTATCTTCCCAACCACTTGTACAAATCAACTGAAATTAGGTATAGGGGTACAAGAAGTGCTCTAATTATTATTCGTCAATAAAAATTTTTGTTTGCTTCATTTGTTTGTGATATGCAAGACTAACTTGATTTTTTAAATGGCACTACTATATAATTAATGCATTTTTGAATAGAGCTTTTTTGTGAATTCATTGATGTAGCACAATCATACTTTCTTTCTGACTGAAATGGTAAAATGAATTATTTTAAATAAGAATAAATAAATAAAAAAGAAAGATGACATAGTTACCTTTGAAAATAATTTTAATTTGACATGTAAGGTGTTTCTTGCAAAAATGGTGCATCTAAGTGAAAATTATTAGAATTATTAATGATTATCCGCTACGGGCTACGGTGACAAAAGACGAAGTTCTGCTCAAGTAGTAATACTTATCAATGAAATTCATCCGAAGGGATTGTGATATTTAAAATGTGAAACGTTTTTTTGTTTCGGCGGTCGAAAACTTAACTCTGTGATCAAACCAGATGCTTACCCTCTACCTAAAGTCCATTACATCTTAAACATGTTAACTGGAGCACGGTATCTGTCAAAAATTGATCTTAAGTCGGCCTTCTGGAAAATTCCCTTGGAGGATACGTCCTGCGAAAAGACTGCCTTGGTAGTTACATCTCGAGGGCTTTATAAATTTGTTGTGGAACCATAATGTGTTCGTTCTTTTTAGACGACATTGTTATCTCCACATCAACGTTTAAACAACATCTTCAAGTGCTTAGGGAAGTTTACTAACACTTGAAAGAAGCCAACTTAACTATAGACGCAGAGAAGTGTGAGTACTGCATTGGCTTTCTTGTGGATAAATCAGTTTTGCATACAAATCCAGAAAAAGTCTCCGCCATGGCGAAATTTCCCAAACCTCAAATAGTCACAGAGATGAAACGATTTCTTGGGCTCTGGGGCTGGTATAGGCGCTTTGATCCGAAATTTTCAGATCAAATCAGGATGGTGTCCTATATAAACATGCGAGGCACACTTAACTGACGTCCTTTCCCATGACAATTGATTGCAATTAATATTTTAGGTCCTCTTCCTCGTAGTATGCAGGGACATTGTTATATTTTAACGGTTTGTGATTGGTCCAACAAGTTCATTTTATTACATCCTTTGCGCAAGATAAATTCCAAGTCAATTATCCAAGCTTGTAGAAGAGAACGTCTTTTTGGTGTTTGGCAAATCATCACCTGTGACAACGGTACCGAATTTGTTTCGCGTGATTTTTAGAAGCTAGCGGATTTGTACGAATGTAGGATTTGGTATAACGTAAAATCCCATCCAAAAACAAACAGCGTAGAACGAGTTAACAGAGTAGCCGGGGTTGCTATTCTTTCCTACATTTTACTAATCATAGGTATTGGGACGTATATATACATATATAATTCGGTTTCAAAACGTTCTACGACGTCTTCCGACTCCTAACCGTCATTCTTCCCTACCTCTCCATAGGCCTTCTGGTAGATCTCGTTCTTTTATTTCTTTATCAATTCCTTCCCGCCAACTTCTTCTAGGTCTCCCTCTTTTCCTTCTTCCGTGTGGTGTCCATGTCAAGATTTGTTTTGGAAGTCTATTTTCAGCCATTCGCTGTACATGGCCATACCAGATCAACTGTTTTGTTTTGATGTCGTCCATTATTGTATGTGTGACCCCTGACCCTCATGATTTCTCGAATTCTGTCAATTGGTACTCTGTCCTTTCTCGATTTAATTGCCGACCTCTTCCAATAGTCCATTTCCGTTATCAGTAGCATTTTCTCAGTGTTTTGTTTTAATTGCCATACTTCGCTGCTATTTGTAACGATGCTCTTCACATCTTGCTGTTGTATATTCGGTGTTTGTTCGCTTTTGAGATATGCGGATCACATAGTATTCCATTTATCATGGATATGGCTTTTCTTCCTTGTGAGTTCCTTTCTATCATTGCTTTGTCTTGAGTTCCGTCCTGTGTTATTTTCATCCCTAGGTACTTGTATTCATTGCCATATTTGATTATTTTATTATTCTCTAAGATAATATTCTGTACAGGCCCTCCAATATTCATACGCTCTGTTTTCTTTACATTTACTTCCAATCCCCATTTCCTGTATTCTTCAATAAGTTTTCGTGCCATGTAAGTTAAATCCTCGTGGTCTTGTGCTATTACGATTTGATCGTCTGCAAAACATAATGTATACAGGGTTGTACTGTTATTCAGAGGAATTCCCATGCCACTGCACTTGCTTTTCCATACTTTCAGTGCCTGTTCTAGATAGATTTTAAAAAATGTGGGCGAGAGGCAGCATCCCCGCTTTAGTCCTTTGGTAGCTGTGAATCCCTCTGAGACTTTTTTCCCACCTTAACTTGTGTTATGTTATTGGTATACATGTTTTCCACTGCTTTTATTAGTCCATGTTTAATGTTTGTCTATTCCAATGTTGACCACAGTTTGTGATGGGGAATACTATCGTAGGCTTTTTGTAGATCTACGTAAAGCAAATGGATTTCTTGATCAAACGCTGCTTTTGTTTCTATAATTTGGGTAACGCAGTATAAATGGTCTACTGTCGATCTGCCTGCCCTGAATCCCGCTTGTTCTTCTGCCTCCATATCCATGTACTCCTGCTCTATTTTGGTTTTCAAAATTTTCCCGTAGATTCTACTTCCTGTACTTGTTACCGCTATGTCCCTATAATTTTCGCACTGATCTCTGCTACCTTTTTTGTGCATTGCTGATATTATTGATTTTTTCCACTCACTTGGTACCTTATCCCCATTTAGACAGTTCTCAAATAGCTTCCTAAATTGTTCGTAGGGGAAACCAGCCTATGATGGCATGGTGCCTATGATGGCATACCTTCAAATTTTTTGGACCATTTGAATTTCGCGGTCAAATCACCTGTTCAAGATGCTGACCTTACTGGTACATGAATGTCTACAAAGCAGTGTGAGTGTAGGGCTGTTTCTTGAAAGGCAGAAAAATAAATGAAATATTGTTGACTCTGGAAGTAAGTTTTACACATTAATCAAGTTGAAATCATGCTCTTAATATGCTTAACTCAGGGGCACCAATTTCATTCATGTTTTCTATACATGTGACACATGTAATATAGGTGCCAGTTTAGGGTTATGTTGTAAATGAAAAAATACAGAGATTGATTTTAATAAAACATCGAATTTCCCTATGATGGCATACCAAAGCTTTTCCTTTGATGGCATAGTATGCCATCATAGGGAATGTCACTTGCATTGTACTCAAGTACAATGTCCAGTAAGGCTAAGAGGCAATTATGGGAGGAAAAAAACATGGCAGAGGCTTTGCGAAAAGTTCGGGAAAAAAAGATGGGATGGCAATTAGCGTCCAAAATCTTCAATGTCCCTGCTACCACACTGCGCAGAAGATCTAAAAACAATTGTAACAGTACCAAAGGAGATTTGGGCGGTAAAAGACCAGTATTTAGTTGGGAGATGGAAGATCAATTTGCTCAACATATAAAGGATATACAAGCTAAATTCTTCAGTTTAACATTAAAAGATTTAAAGAAATTAATTTTCGAATTTGTATCTAAAAATAATATAAAAAACCCTTTTAACAAAGAAAAAGAAACAGCTGGTGATGAATGGATTCAGGGATTTTTAAAACGAAATCCACAGATATCTCTCAGAAGGCCTGAAAACACCTCAGCTGCTCGGGCACAAGCCTTCAATAAAAATAATATCGCTTTATATTTTAAATCTCTGAACGAGGTTATGGAAAAATATAACTTTCCACCAGAAAATATTTACAACATTGACGAATCTGGTCTCAGTGTAGTACAAAAACGACCACAAAAAATTCTAGCTACTAAAGGACGAAAGCAAGTTGGAGCGCTGTCTAGTGCTGAACGAGGACAGCATTTAATTGTGGTATGCTGTATGAATGCCATGGGCACGTTTGTGCCACCAGCTTTTATATTTCCAAGAAAAAGAATGAAAAATGAGCTGATGGACAACGGTCCAATGGACAGCAAAGCCTATTGTCAACTAAACGGTTGGAGGTGTTCAGAGATTTTTGTACAGTGGTTGGAACATTTTGTACATTACACTAAAGCTTCGAATGAAAACAAGGTTTTATTCTTATTGGACGGTCAGAGCAGCCACAAAAGCCTAGAAGTGCTACAATACGCGAAAGATAATGGTGTGATACTATTCTGTTTTCCCGCATATTGTACCCACCGGTTGCAGCCCCTGGATGTAGGTTTTTTTTCACCTCTCCAAACTTATTACGGCCAAGAAATTCAGACTTGGCTTAAACAACATCCTGGTAGAATCGTCACACATTTCCAAGTAGCTGGTCTTTTCAATAAAGCGTATTTGAAGGCTGCTACACCCGCAAATACAGTACACGCGTTTGCCAAAACAGGAATATATCCCGTTGATGACAACATTTTCCCTGATTGGATGTTCCAACCGTCTTCCACAACCGATAGACCGTTAACCGAACATGACCAATGCCAAAATGGTCAAAAACAACCACAACAAGGAGGCGTAGACGTTGAACTGCCTAAATTAGGCTCTGGAACACCAGAAGCTACTGAAGTTGAACCTTCAACATCAAGATTTGCCAGTCCACGACAGAAAGGTTTCCGTCAACGAGGAAACGAAGATATTATAGTATTCATGAACCATCTCCATTGCCGCAAGCTTCACTTGGAACTTCAAAGAAAAGATTAAGAAAACCTAGTAAAAAATTACATATAAATTCCACGCCAGACATTAATGAATTAAAAAAGGAAGTAGAAGAAAAAACAACAAAGGAGAGGGAAAAGTTATCAAGAAAAGCAAAAAGGAAAATTTTGGTTAAAGAAGAAACGGATTTGTCAGTGATAATGAAAAGGTTGAAGACATTGATGGCGATGAAGCCGATGTTGCATGTTTATATTGCAATGATATATTCTCTAGGTCGAAAACAAGAGAAATGTGGATTTCATGTCAGAGTTGTGGTTCCTGGTGCCACAATGAGTGCGCGGGTGTTGAAAAAAGAATCAAGCAATTCATCTGCGAACTTTGTGAATAACTTTTTTTGTTAAGTTTTTTTTGCCTTAATGTTTCGTTATTTGATGATTTTTATTTAGTTTATTCGTTTGTTGATTTGTTTTGCTACAAATTGTAGTCCTTTATCTTAAATCTATTTTATTACTTTCACAATAACTTCTCAATTCTTAATAAAAATTAACATTACTTAAAAAAAAAACTCTAAAAATTCGGGTGTGCCATCATAAGGAGAGTACTACATATGATGGCACACTATAGTTTTTGGTTCTAATTTTTTTTCAAAATAAATATTGAATATATTGAAAATTTGATGACTTAATATCAATTTCAATATAATTGCTCGTTTAAATTACCCACAAAAAAATCCCTAATATCATAGATGAGGTTAGGCTAAGGTGTCAAAGTTAAGTATGCCATCATAGGCTGGTTCCCCTATAGCTTGTGTGTTCCTGCTTTTATTAATTCAGCCGGTATATCACCAGGCCCGGGAGATTTTTATTTTTGTTTCCTGGTCTTCATTCATAAATTCTGTCCGATGTTCCGTTCGAAGATCTTTAAAATACTTTTGCCATTTTTCTAGTGTTACCGGTGATATTATATCTTTTTTTGTATTTGTTCGTAGTCCTTAGGAGCCCCTTCTGCCCCACCTGTTGGTCCGCGGGAGGTATTTTATTACCCTCCTACCCACCGGAAAACCGGGTCGGGCGTTCTCCAATCCGCTACCCGGGGACGCGCTCTCTAGGGGTTACTCCGAGAAATTGGGACGTCCATTTACTAAAAATTGGGTTTGCGCTTCGCACGGCGATTCATGAAGCCACCGGACTATCTCCTACGTATATAAATTTCGGTCGGTACGTACCAATTTCAGGAGATTTTTATGACAAGAGCGGTGAGCCATCGAAAGTTGATTTAACGAACCCCGACCGGAGTCAATATTTTGAAAAGTTGGAGGGCTTGTCTGAAATTTACATGGCAGTGCGCCAATCGCTAACGGCCGCGTATAAAAGAAATTCTCAGACGTACAATTTACGACGACGTCCTGCTGATTCCTATCAAGTGCCGGTGTGGAAACGCAATTATGTAATTTCAGATGCATCAAAGTACTTTTCTAGTAAACTGGCTCCAAAATATGTTCCATGCGTCGTCACCAAGCTTATCTCTCGTCTCGTATGTAGATTAGCGGAGGCTGAGAGTCATCAAAACCTAGGAAAACGGCACGTTAAAGATCTTAAGCTGTTTCGAGGTGATGATCATGAAGACAGTAGTACCGACGAATGATTTTTTAGTCTATGTGCCTGAGAGAGAGAGAGAACATTGACGTATGAGTGATCTCGTGTATGTGGTAGAATGTGGTGAGTGGATGAGTACGACTTTCTTTTCCCGATTCTTGACAGAGTTGTTTTTTTTTTCCCAATTCGACGTATGCATAAATTCTGATTTTGACAATTTCTTCTCGATTCTGACCCAATTTCTTCTTGATCCTGACGTTTACTTCCCGATTTTGACACTTTATTCTCGGTTTTAACACTTTTTTTCGCGAAAGTGGCCCTCATAATTCTTTTGTTGTTTTCTCCTTAGAAAATTCTGGAGTATGACTGGAATCTTTTTTTTTATTTACAATGCTTTTTACTTTTTTTTAGTTGGGATACGTCTGGTATAAAAAATTAAAATATATTTAATTTATTTTTTTGTTAGCATGGGGGGGGTTGTATTCCTTATTAAAGAAAGAAAGCTCCTATCACGCGTGGTTTTGGTGAGGAGCTCGGGAAGAGGACGGGGCAAGATCGAGGTCTTTTCCACGAGGAATTTCGGGAAGGAGTGGCCCACAACCTGGCACCCGGCGTCTACGGTAGCGACGGCACCTAAGAACCGAATCCCTCCCAGGAAGAGTTAGGAGCCCCCGCTTCATGCATTAATAATAATTTGTTACTTTTCTTTAAACCCTCTAAGAAGGCGATTTTATGTCTGAAAAAAACAATTATTAATCCAGTAACAATTTTATAGAAACGATACGTTTTCACGGTTTCCTCGCTCCTACTGGGTTTCTAATTGATCAGTTATGGTTACACAAACCGGTAATTTTAGCGTAGAATACTATTTTAACTATCAATCATTAAATATTTATTTTCCCGGTAATTTTATACAATCAAAAAACGTTTTAATACACTAGGACTCCTGTTATTCGTTACACTTACACGCTAACAATGGCAGTTGACTTAAATATCATAAAAATACTGTTTTTAGTAGGCAGAAATTTTGCAGTTACGCCGCCTTCATTTACAAATAAAAAAGCCACCACTGCACAACAAATATATGTATTTTTAATTTTTTCCTTCTTTTCTTTTGGTGTCCTTGCCAGCTTTATTTATCGGAAAGAAAATTATCTACTTATGAGTTCAGTTCAGTTAATTCTGTGGCTGCTCACAGACAGCGTTCGTTACTTTCATAATGTTTATACTTTAGTATGTTTGATGATCCGCAAACGGGGCTGCTGGTTCGAGTTAATTAAAAATTTAGAAAAAACTGGCCACTCCAAATATGACGAAAATCTTGCTTTGGAAAAGTCGTACTATTTATTTTTTTTAATGTTGCATGTTGTTTATGCTCTCATTTTTGCAATTATGTTATATGTTTGTTACCTGTATTACACATTCTCTGAGTTCATCCAAATGTATTTAATAGAATTTTTACAGATGTATATACAATTCTATTATCTAGTATTTGCATGTATTATTTTTAAAATGATATTAGTGCGATACAAACACCAAAGAACGGACATGATCGAGAAAACGAACATTGAAAAATTAAATCTTGCAAAATCTAGGAAGAATTTTTTTCTTTTGAAGAAATCTACAGACAGCGTTATTGAGATTTTCGGTTCAACGATTTTGCTAAATGTGATGTATAATTCTGCAAAAAGTCTTATTTATTTGCAGCGAATCGTCACAAACAGCAACTACACAGCTACACTGGGATCCACCATTGCTATAGTTATTAATTTGTCACAAATTGCGATTCTGATGTTATTTTGGGTAAATACATGATGTACATTCAAATATACTTAGTGAATATTTAAATATGTTTTAGTTCTTGATATTTTGTGTAATGTTTATCAGCGATGAAATTTTGCAAGAAAATCACCGAATTTTGAAGATATTATATAAACTGAAAGTAGTTGAAACAAATAACAATACCGAGATTCAAAACTTTATCAACGTTATTGTTCACAATCCTCTAAAAATGAGGGCTGCCAGATTTTTGGAAGTGAATAGATCAACAATTTTTCTTATTGTGAATTTCATTGTGACGATACTAATATTTGTTCTTCAGTTTAAAGTCTAAATAAATGAAAGTTTATCAAAGCGATTTAGGTATCCTATCCACACGATGAGGTTGTATGAGTTGAGCTTTGTGTAGGCAATTTTAAGCGTTTTGGTTTTACAATAACAAACTCTCTTAAACACTCTTTTCTAAAAATTTTCTACAGGGTTTCTATAAATGATTACAGGAGCGAAGTAGGTCATAGAAGCGTTCCGCCTCTCACATTTAGACTTTACTAAATACCTAAGGACTTTCGACAAATACTACACGCCCCTGTATAACTGGTTGCCTGAAGCATTCATATTTTGTTAAAAAGCGGGATTTTTGAAATCCATGCCCAACTACGCCATTCGAATTATTTATAAAAACCCTGTATAATAAGCTAATAAGCAAGCATGGAAGTTGATATTGGTTTAGACCCTTAATCGATAACGGTGTGTTTGTAACAAGTTATGTAAAAACAACAATATCAAATATGCATGAGGGCGTCATTAGAGAAGCTTTTACAATAAATAAATAACAAGAAATACTTTCATATTAATTCACTTATCCAATGCGTATTATAACGTTTCGCACTAAATAAAAATATTAAGCAATTTTAGTGGTGCTTGAACGAAACTTTCTAAGTTTGTTTACAGACTATTTTCCAAACAGAAATAAGCTTTGAAAATTATTGCTTTGTTCAAATGATGTAATTTTACCACATTTTAAATTTGTAATTAGATTGTTTGTAGTTGTCGAATACGAAAATCCAGATTCTCCTTCTCATTATTATCAGACTAGTGTATACCAACTGGAAATTTACTGGACAAAACCAACTTCCAAATCTACCCAAACGTTAACTTTGAAATTTGCAATATATTTTAAATTTATGACGAAGGTAATAAAACACTAACCAAAATTTATTAATTTTTTAAATTGACTCACATTTTTTCTTAAGAATATTTTTATTAGAATAAAACAATAGCAAAATAAATGAATTACTAAAGATTTGCAAATTAGAGCTTGTCATTTTTGTTCAAAAATTTCACGGTATGGTCCAAAAATTCCTTTGGTTTTTCACTGTGTAACCAATGACCAGTCCCTTCAATGGATACAAATTCTGCTTTAGGAAAAAGCTTTAAAATTCTCTCATGATCGCTGTTCCTGAAAACAGAAATGTAAATATGTGGGTTTAGCCATATTGGAAACTTGCTGAATTAAATCAGAATTTGCCCCGCTCATAAAAAGAACAGGTCCTTGAAAATTTAAACTGTTGGTTGGTGGAAAACCGCATATGTCGTCAAAATTGGCCTTCAGCGCTGAGATGTTAATCCTCCAATGGTAACTAGAACTATATTCTAAGTATGTTATAAATCTTATCAATAAATGGGTACCTTCCGTCCAAAGTTTGTACAAGATTTGTTAAAAGAAAATTTCGCAGTCCTTTGTCCATCACATATCTGGATAGCTGTTGGTCCGTTTGGTTCCTCGCCACTGACATGGTGACATTTTTGGGTAGTTCCAAGCTTTGCAGCACGTTGAACAACCTAGCTATTGACTTCATATCCGCATACCTGACTACTGGTGAAATATCAACAACGATCAGTTTATCTACAAGATTAGGCTAAAAAGGACTTATAGTAACGAAGCAATTTAAGATTTACATATTTTAGAGCAAAATACATAGCGGCACGTCCTCCCATTGAATGTCCCAACACTGCAACTTTCGTAAGCTTTAATTGTTTCACAAGTTCTTCCAAATCTAAAGCTAGATGTACATATGTGTGTTCTTGCGCGTGAGGACTATCGCCATGGTTTCGTGCGTCTACTGCTATAATTTTGCGTCGAGTTTTTTCGTGGTAGACTTTACAAAGACTGTTCCAGTTAGACTTTGAACCAAAAATGCCGTGGTTAACCACCAGTGCAGCTGGATCTTGTTCACTTGGTGGAGCTGTGCTCTCGTAGGAAGCGTAGGCTAGTCTCACTGGTGTGAAATTTGTAGATAGTTTTCTAAAGGAAATTTGGAAAAATAATTTTTTTGCTGAATTGAAATTTAGAAGGGAAAACATGTTTGGCTGTGACGTTTACATTTTGCGAAAGTGTGACACTTGTCATACGTGACAAGTCGAACATTCACGTTTGTCGAAAAATGTTTGAAGCAAACTGATTTCTGCAGCTTAATTTAAATGAAGATAGTATTGAGAAACGTAATATGTGAGAAGTGGAGAAAGAAAAAACGTAAATGTTTAAGTTTAACTGAATGACGGTAAAATTATAGGAGAAATAAAAAATACCATCAAACATATGACGAATGGATATTTTAATATTCTGTTTGTTTTATAACACCCTTTTTACGTTTTTGACTTTAGCTGCTTCAAGCTAAGACCATTCCTTCAGTGTAATTTAACACATGTGAAAATGTCTTCACAGTTCAGAAAAAGCTTCAGCTTGCCTCACTGATTGTAGAATTTTTGTATCGATTTATGGAAAAAGTAGGGCTATTTTTTGGCTATTGTGAAAAAGTGAAATTATGGAATTAGGTTTTCCCAGGTATGTACGCATTCAGTCAGAGTGGAAGATCAATCTTGTTTCAATTAAAAACAAAAAAAAATATTTTAGTATTTAGATAGCCAAAGGTTTGAGTAATTGTTGGTGCTATACGCAAAATGGAGAAAATATTTTGAACATTTTTAGTAGGAATTAATTTCGCCATCTAGATTAGGATTTTTTTACACTACAGGGTTATGATAAAATAATGCATCATTTTTGAAATGTATTTATTGTTTTGTTTATTTAATATTTATCATTAAAATCAAGTTTATTTTGTTTGTTATCAGTTTTCTCAATTTTTTGTTATGCAACCCCTACATCAAACTATATTTTCCTATGCAGAAAACTAAGCTTTATTAAATAATGCAATCAAAATTATACCTTCCTATTTAAAAAAATCATTGATAACATCATAACTTTTACAAATGTGACGTAAAATGTTTTTGACATGTGTCAAAAGATGTAGAGTATAAAAAACTTAATATGTTTTTGCAATTTTTTTCAAAAACAAATGCTGCGTTTTTTATGAACTTTGTGCATTACTTTATCATAACCCTGTATATCCAACGTTTTTGTTGTCTTCATGTTCATTGCTACACAGGCACAAATGTAATGTACTGTCTACTAGATAAACAGTGTCTTCAGATCTTCAAAAGCGTGTCGCTTCTTGAAACTCTTTAGATCTGTTTCCCGGGGTGGATCAGTTCCTTTTTTTCTCTTCTCTATATTCTCTCGCATATTTTCCTCTATCATTTTCTCTTTTATTTTCTTTTCCCACTTTCCAAACCCTGCCCTGTGTGGTCACTTTTTACTTCCTCTAACCACTTCCTCCTACTTCCTGGCTTCCATTCTAACTTTGCGCTATTTGGGGTGTTCGATTCTTTTCTTTATTTTTCTTACTACATCTTCCTACATTTCTTCCGATAGTTCCTGGTTTGTTGTTCTCTCTTAATTCATTCTCTCCAATTTGAATTGTGTCTAGTATTATTCTTAGTATCTTCATTTCAACTATCTTTAGTTTTTCTTCTTGTTTCTTGTCTTTCATTTTGTTTTTTCCCCAAGTATCTTGCTCTTCAGTAATTTTTGTAGCTTGTTTTGCTCCATTAACAGACATTATTTTTTCTTTAACTTAGTGTTTCCTTTCCCGATTACTTGCTAGCATTACACCTAGTTATTTATATTTGCTTACTTCTTCAAAACTGTGTTCCCCAATTTTAATCATGTTTTTGTTTTCTCCTTCCCAGTTCTGATTATTTTGGTTTTATCTATACTGAGTTCTGGTCCTAATGTCTTTACTTCGTCTATCATATATTAATATTTCTTTATTCTTTGCTATTATTAATAAATCATCCACCTACGCTACTAACTGTCCTCTTCTTGACCTTAATATTCTTTTATTTATCTTTCTCCATCATTGATCTTAAATTCTTCCGCTATTGTTCCTGTTACCACTTCTACTTCTACTAGCTTGACATCTACACATTTTATTATCATTTTTTTTTGAAGAATTTTTTACTTTCTTTTCTTATTTTTTGGTATTCTCCTCTTTCCTTTTCTGATTTCGTTCTTAACCACTTAATTCTCGCTTCCACATTCAGCGTTAACCTATCCTGGCATTCTTGAGTAAATCATCCTTTTTTATTTTGTTTACTTTTCACTGATGTATTTGTCTCTGATCCTTCAATTAACGCAGTTATTTAAGGTGTTCCAGTCCATTTGTATATCAATTGTATGCAATCACCATTCTTTTATCTTGTTTTCTAAGGCTGTCTCTTATTTTTGTATGTATCTTATATTTAGCTTTTCGACATTTCATTTTTCTTGTGCCTCGTTATTTTTATTGTCCCTTTTTATTTTTTGCTTCATTTTTGCTATAACCATTTAAAGAAATATGTGCAAACTTACCTATATGAACTGACATCTTTAATTGCTAGCTGTTTTTTTTTTCGTAATTAGCACATCATCGATGTATTTGTGGTAAGGTTTTTGGTCTGCAGATGCCCATGTGATTTTACTACTGATGCTTATATTCGTACAGGGTTTCTATAAACGATTATAGGGTCGAAGTAGGTCATGAAAACGTGTCGCTTCTCACTTTTGGACTTTACTACATGCCCAAGGACTCATACGCATCTGCATAACTGATTGTCCAAATACTTCATATTTTATTAAAAAACAAAACTAATTCATTAAACAAATTTATTGCGGTTCAACGTCACAGTAAATGTTGAAAATGTTCACTATTTTGTTCAAGGCACACGTTTACTATCTTTTTAATTTAAAAACTGTTTTGTAACATTCGTCAATATAGAATATTTTGGACCCATTGTTCAATTTTGTCTTGCAACAGAAAATCCTGAGTGCTGAGGAAATCTTGTCAAAGATGTTTGCAGCTTCTGTTCAAGTCGTCTCAAATCATCAACCACTTTCTCAGACACTGAAGGTCTTCCAGGAGATTTCCCTTTGGCAACACTGACAGTTGGAGCAAATTTGTTGATAATATCTCTAATTATCAAATTACGATATTTGATCAGATATTTTTGCTTAAAAACGGTTACAAAATACACATACTCTTCGTTTATGAATGTCCCATTGCGATAACAAGACAACAATAAAGTTCAACAGAATAAACCATTTTCTCTTGCTAGTACATAAACAAAAATTTTTGAACACAAGCAACAAGAGTTTTGAAAACGACTATTTTATTTTGAGCTTGGATCAACGGGAATTACTGTAATTCATACTCGAAAAAGGTTAAAACAATTAAAAGAATGACTTTTAATGGCAGGTGACAATTGTCATAATGAGGCATAATTTCAGCGAAGCGGGATTTTTGAAATCCATTGCCAACTATGCTGCTAAATTGTATAATATTGATCTTGCTTGACCTTAATCTGAATATAATATCGTATAGTTGGTTTTATTTCTTTCGCCCTGTCCTTTCCATACTGTTTCCAGTACTGCAGCTGCATCTAGATATCTTGTATCTTTCCTGTTAACAAACAGTGTCTAACGTTCCATGTGCTGATTTTTAGTTCATCTTTTTTCTTCGCTTCCATTTTTTTCTTTTAATTTTCCTATTCCTATTCTTAACCTTTTTCGCAGCCGTGGTCGCCTTCAGTGTATTTTTCCTTCTTCTACTTGTTTGGTTTTCTACCATTTTGGTATGCATTTTTGCATATATTTAGGTTTTCTCTTCTTTCTTGTTCGTAACCCCATGGTGATCTTGCACTATATTTTCTCCCCTTTGTCTTCTCTTCGTTCTGTCCTATTTTCCTCGTTTGTCCTAAGCTGTAGTCTATTCTATTTATAGGCAGGTTTTTGTAATCGTTTTACTTCACGCCCTTTTAATTTTCTTTTTTTGTTATAGTATGCCTTAATGAAAATTTTTGTATCATCTAATTTTTTGGTAGCTTGTAGTATTTCTGTTTTCTTAATCGTGTCCTTTAATTCAACAAGGATTGGCCTGATATTTTTATTTCCTATTCTTCTTATTTCAGCAACTTCCTCTTGCATGTTTATTCGTATCTAATGTATCCCGTAATGCTTTTTATTTGCATATATCGTTTTCATTCGTCTCCTCCTGGATTCCATTTGTTATTAATTTCTTTGTCTTGTCTTTCGGTGCGCTTTATTTTTTCGTCCTGTTGGTTTGTTTTCTCCTTTTTTTTTCTTAGTTTTATTAATTTAAACACTTATAACGAATGGGAGAATCGGCGTTAAGGAAGCACGCCTTGACAATAGAGGAATGCCGGTTTTTAGGTTGAGCGCGTAGATGAGATAAAAACGTGGGTTTAAGTGATTATGATCGGGCGATAGCATAGTAGTACGGGGGCAGAATATGGCGCACACGCATATTGAACCAGGCCAGTGATAACTTAAGGTCCGCTTTCTTGTTTTCTCCACCCTGACACTGTCTACTCGTTCTTTGTCCACTAATCAAGAGCTGTTTAGGCAGTGGTCAGAACAGATAATGTCACATTAAAAAAAAAATGATGCTCGAATCGTTCTCTGTTCCCGTCGTCCAGGTCGCAGCGCAGTTCCACATCATCTGTTCGATTATTCAACTATGGCATATGTTGACACCCATTCAATTTGATCTTGCGATATCACTTAAGAATTCCACTCCAAGCCAACTATATTTATATCTGTAGGGTATGCGAAGAAAAATGTTGCTTCCCCGGTGGGAATCGAACCGCACGTTTACCGCTTGCCGGGCGGGTGCCCTTACCATTAGACTCCAGAAGAGTTTATCTTTTTTTTCTTATCACTAGTTATTATTGTGTCGCCACAGTACTACCCCGAGCGACACAGTGAGCGTGGTCGTGCTAGGGTGCGAAGGAGTGGTGCGTGTGTGCGCGTGCGTGTTGCCTGTTGGAGTCACCAATGTAGGTAAGCGAAGAAAAATGTTGCTTCTCCGGTGGGAATCGAATCCCACGTTTGCCGCTTGCCGGGCGGGTGCCCTTACCACTAGACTATACGGAGAAGCTTATCTTTCTTCGCTTACCACTGCTTATTATTGTGTCGCCACATATCCTTGGGGAATAT